TAAATTCTATGATTTATAGTTCGTACTAATCTTATTATATGGTTATATTCATTTGAAGGAATCTGTGCGTTATAAATAAATCAAGAATGATATACTCTATGTAGCAGGTGCTTTGTGGTAATAAATTTACGTTAATATACCCTCCGCATTTGTACAAACAATTTCTCATTGCCTCGAGGTTCATTATAAAAATCGTCACCAAGTCGATGCTCAGTCGCTTTGTCTTCAAGATGAAAGCTGCCAGTTGCTCACAAGTGCTTTAAATCATGCCTGCCACAACACCCTGCAAGAATTCAAAAAAAAGATAGTTTTTTCCCCATCGCACGAACGGCTCTCATACAACCAAGCGTGACGGACATGGGCTATTATATTAGGAGTGGACACAGTAGAATGTGTCAGAACCGCATACATGCGTATTCGTGGCAAGTTTCTTAAACACAGGACAATTTATTGAACATCAAAGCAGTTTAATCAAAATGTTTATCTTCCTGTCACAAACAGGTCACATATTACTCAATAATTTTCTGTTACATATCTGTTGGTTTATGTTAGTTAATTATCCGCTTAAAATTAAATGTACAGTGTCATTTAAATTTGGTGACAACTCTTTCATTTTACAGAGTTATACAATATTACGAAATTGTGTGAGGGCTGCATGCATAAGCCTATGTATTCATGGCATATACTTTAATTCACCACTTTTGCTATTTACAGTCGGTGCACAGTGGCTTAGAGTCATTCTACGTACACAATATATACGTTTTTTTTATAGTACTCTCTACTTTAATATCGCACTTATTTTTTTTAAATATTCTGTTTGACACACGTTGCCAGCCGTAATAAAATTGCATCTGCTGTAGATGTTTGAAGCCGGATGTTATATGTATGTATCAGTAATTGACATCGTGTACAAACTTTTTGTTAAACATATTTAGACTTTCATATTACATGTTACAAATCAGTTCTTTTGTTACTATTACGTCAGCGATTTTACAGAACTGTTCAACCATATGTGGGAATTGAAAACTGGTGCATTGTGGCTGTTAGGTGTGTAGTTTCGTTGCCTGCAGCGATATTACAAAGTGCCCACAGGGAGTACAAACCAAACTCAAAGCAATCACAATGTTTCGTGGGACAAAAGCATTATGTAACAGCACAAGGCAGCTAACTGGGAAAAAAAATCAATTCAAACTGGAAACCTAGGTGATTGTGTATTTTGCAGATACTTCGGAAGCTACACGGTTCGCAAAGTTCTGATGCTGTGATTGGTGGATAATGGCTGGGTTCCTTCCTTCCTTTGTATAGTTGCGATTTCAATTATTACACTTGTAGAAACTCTATGTGGTATCACTACGAAGTTATCACGTAATTAAATACGGTATATCATTATAAATAATAAGAACTGGCAAATTAACTTCTGAGGAGAGGTTAACATTAAAGGGTGCGTTTCTGCATAATGTCTGATGTGTGTTTATGCTGGAATATGAGGCAAGCGGAAATACGCAGGAAGTTAAGAGTTTGAAGTGCTCTTTCGACCCAGCATACTTAATAGGGTTATGATACTTGTAATTTGTTCAGAATTAGTGAGATTTGTGTGAATATTCTAAAGATATAACGTGTGTATATTTTGGATACCTACCACTTGTATATTTCAGCTGCTTTTAAATGTGTGTGTGTTGACGTAACTTCTGTATTTCATGGTTTGTTTGTCCAGAAAGTGCACAACGAAGCGTCAAGAGAGGGCGGCGACCTTGTGCAGAATAATTCCCTGCAAGGTTAATAGGCTGACAGAAGTCAGAGTAGCTGGAAACCGCGTAGGTTTGTGTAGAAATAATTCTGCTCGTATTCGGAATATACAGGGTTCGAATTTTTACCGAGATATCGACTATTCTGACTCAGTCTTTTGTAGTTTTACTCACTAACTTGAGGCGAATGTAAAGTGTTTGTGTATATTCAACTTATCGCAGTACATTGATATTTCCTTTTACTCTCAAATCCGATACTGAATTTCAGCACATCAAATAGTCACACGCCTGAAAAAATAGTTTTGAGCTATTTTGTGACTATTCCTAAATCGAGCTTACTACCACTTTGTCTTTTTGTTCACTCTGCACAACAAAAATTAATCGCTGGAAATTTATATCCCAAACCGGAAGTGATGTAAGCGTACAGCTGGCGTCATGATTCCAGTAATACGTGATCTTGTATTTGTAAGCATTGAAGAAAAAACACAAGTGGATTTTTCAGTCTTCCGAAAGCAAAACACAGGTGAAAGCTCTCCTTCGGTTGGTTACCTATGCGTTCTCGTAAGCTTACATCACTTCCGATTTGAAACTTTTAAATTTCAAGCGCTTGGTTTTATTGTACAAAGTGTACAGTGAGGATATTTGGCGGCTGTGCCGCAAGGACTAGGAAATGCAGTAGTCGACATGGCGATAGCTTGTTGCGGAAATATCATACCGTGCTGTCAGCCCACACCACCAGCTATCATTTGCAATTAAACACTAATATATAAGCCCACCAACGAACATTGTATTTAAATCTCTCTCCGTCTCCCATTCTCGTTATTTGTGACTTTATTTTTACTCGTATCATCCCATGTCTTGGATGTTTTAGGTAGTCTTTTTTTTTCATTTCTTGTCAGAGCAAATTTTCCATTTCACCTTAGCCCCCTGGATACCCCAAACCTGAGTCTAACAATATTTGGCAAGCGCATGGAAATCACACGTTATGCATTGAGGATTCTCGTCTAGAATCCATTCTGCTTTGTGCAGGGAATGTACACAAAGACAATTTCATGCTAACGAGCGTTAAGCGAAATGAGCCTACATTTAACGAGCTCATTCACGGGTCATGGAATAATTTCTTTCTGCATAGAACTTGAAGTTGGCATTCCCAACAACTTTCTTCACAGAAGTGAATTTAATTACGACAAAGACGCTGTTGAAACCAAAGTACAGCAGTGCTAATTCCATTTTATTGTGAAGCCCGGGTA